AAAGCCAAATCTTGTACGTGAATATGAGATAAACATGTCTTTGAAACAGATGCTGAGAATCGCATCTTTATTTTGACATGACATTCAGCAAGTAAAGGATTTATTAGAATGCTTAAAGTGAGTGACATCACACCACACCAATCAATTCTCTCTGCCAATAGTTGAATTGGTGACATCACTACAGATAGTTATGCAGTACATGACCAGTCTCACAATGAAGATTACAAATGTAAAAGTATAAATTAAGAGCACATTAAAATACTACATAGGAAAACAGTTTTAAGGGGAAACATGCTACTCCACTTTTTACAAATCACTGTATACAATTCAAGTGTTTTCAAAACACGGGAATGTTAAGGAGGAACCGGCTATTAGAAAGGAGTTTGTATATACAGATTACAAGAGCTTGGAGCTGGATTAACATACCAAATTGATTTTGTCACCATTTACTGTTTCCCTTGCCAGTTCCACTTCTAGTGCATGGATCTCGTGACTGGAGCACATGTTTAGCTCGTTTAGTGTATATAAGCCTTGTTTTTGATAAATGCATTGTAAGCATATAGAGGACAATAATTGTGCACAGAAAGAATCTTCATTTTAATTATTTTCGTAATATTTTTATTTATACAACGCAACCAAAGAAATGAGAAAGAAAAGATATACAAAATGAATGCAGCATCTTAACAATCATTGGCACATTGTACCTATCGTTTGATATCAGATTTCACAGCTCTTTATAAGCCTTAAAAGAGAACTATGGCCTAACCTTTTTTGGCCATAGTTCTCTTCAGGGTCACAGGAGGACATATACCAATGTCCTCTGGTGGCCCGCTATATGCTGAGAGCGCAGAGCCGCACCGCAGCCGGCTCTGCCTCTTGAGGCAGAGCCAGCTGTGCCCGCCCCCTCCCCTGTCCGCTCCTCCAGTCAGCGCTGGAGAAATGGAGAGGGGTGGAGGGAACCCCCTGTGGGGATCGGTAACTGACAGTCACCGCTCTCTGCAGGGAGAGGATCGGGAAGTCAGCAATAGGTGGTATGTGTTCGCTGAGATCCCGAACAATAGAGCCCACCTATGACAGCTTCAGTGCTTGAATTATGGGGATGCCTGTTTTTCACTCACCCCATAATTCTCCTTTAAAGCTGGACTCCAGCCAGGAAGCACTAAAGGTGAGACTAAATTTAGGAGTTAAATCCTAAAAATGCAGCTTATTTGTGTATCACTAGGCCGTAGATCCTCAGATAATCTCTGATCTCATGTTGACACTGTCCTTCCTTCTGGAGGGTGGCTATTTTTGTTCCTCATGGTCGCTGTGTGTGTTGTAAAGTAGCCACCACTCCAAGCTCACTCCTGTGATGGACTACAATCTCATCTTTAGCCTACCAATTTGTATTAAGATTGTAGTCCATCACAGGAGTGAGTTACTTTACAACACACAGGGACTACGGGGAACAAAAATAGCTACCCTCCAGAAGGAAGTATAGTTTCAGCACCAGTTCAAGGATGATTTGAGGATCTACAGCTGAGTGATACATTTATAAGCTACATTTTTGTTAATAGTTAGGGAACTTGAATGCATTTTTCAAATGTAACTCCTCCGTTTAGTGTCACTTTAACTGTAGTGCACCCTTAATTTGTAGCACTGATGATGTGTATAGAGTTGTAATCCATTCTAATCAAACCAGATACCATATGAGTAAAAATGTGAATATTGATTGGTGGATATGGGATATAGCATTTGACACATTGCTATTTAACCTTATAAATTATCAATAGGGATGCATTGATGCCATTTTTTCAAGAACAAGTACAAGTATTGTTCCTTAGGTACTTGCCGATAACAATTACTGCTACTTTTTTTTAGCGGTATATTATTACCAAGCCACTTGCTTACCTGTTCCTAAAACAATCTCAATTTCTGTTTTAAGTCCATTATTATCATACTTTTGCTCCCTAAACTTGTCCCAGATGCCTCCTTATTAGGTTTGCTTCCACTTTGTGCGTCAAAGCACAGCTACTTTCTGCCTATGGAGAAGTGGCTCCTGGTCGAGTTTTCTCGTAATTTGCAGAGAGAAGAGTGACATGCTTAACTTATCCTTTCTTCTGTTGGCCATTGATTGGCAGCTGTGCACAGAGCCACTGTCCACAGCACTGACTTTACCTGTCTAAGCCTGCTTCTGGAATGTGTGGCAGAGATGTGCCAGAACTATTAGAGCGTAGGCACAATACAAACAAGCAACTTGTAATTATGCTAACATAACTTGCAGACAGTGGACATGATGCAGGCAGTGACAGATGAGCTGAAAATTACCCTGGCATTACCAATGTCTATTAGCCCACAGCACTGCTTTATAGAAGCAAGTCACAATAATCAGTGACACACCTACATACAGCAGTGCTGGAGGCTAGTAAGCATGGACAATGACAGGGGGTCTACTTCTCTGTCACATTTCACACACCTGCCCACAGCACTGCCTCCCAATCATAAGTTGGTTCCAAATGCTCTTTGGAGTTGTAGGACTGAGGGGTGTTCCCACATGGGTCAGAAGTGACATAGGGTGCCCCTGCAAATCCCTATTCCCAGCAGCTGCTGAAAACTGTAGTTGATGTGATAAAAGTATGAAAAAACACCAAAAGGTGAGTGAAAAATTGACTGGAAACCTAGTTCAACACAGGGGTAGGTAGGTATGGGGCAAGTTTTAGGTTTTCCCGAAGTTCCACTTTTATACTCTTAGCAAAACATTCTTCTAAATGTCAAAATACCTGGAGCAATGAGTTTCCAGGTTAAAAGGCAGAAGCTGTTCCCCAGGATGTAGGGACTGGTAACCTGTCACTTCACATTTGGACCTGAATCAGATACCTATTGGCGGCTGAAATTTAAAGGT